ATATTTATGTTTGTGGTTGTAATGTGACAAAATATGGAAAAGTTCAAGGGGTATGAATACTTTTGCAAACCACTGTATTTTAGCACATTATTTAAATTTTACTTTTTAAAACATATATTTTTTTGTTTTCCTTTTACTTATAGATGCATCTGTGTCTCTTAAATAATTTTATTTACTTATTTAAAAAAAAATTTTGGCGGCACGGTGGCTCAGTTGGTAGAGCTGATGCCTCTCAGCAAGAATGTCACCGGTTCAAATCCCGGTCCGGGGACCTTTCTGGGTAGAAATTGCATGTTCTCTCCTTGCATGTGTGGGTTCTCTCCGGGTACTCCGGCTTCCTCCCACAGACCAAAAACATGACTGTTAGGTTAATTGATAACTCTAAATTGTCCCTAGGTGTGAGTGAAAGAGTGAATGGTTGTTTGTCTCATTTGTCTCTATGTGTGGCCCTGTGATGGACTTGCGACCTGTCCAGGGTGTACCCCGCCCCTCGCACTGTGACTGCTGGATATGGGCACCAGTGACCCACGCAACCCTGAAAAGGAAGAAGCGTGAACAGAAAATGGATGGATGGATATTTAAAAAAAATTCCCACAAGTCTTCTTATTTCCATGTGTTGTTTTTACATTTCTCTGTCTCCTGTATTCATTTATCTTATGCATTTCTGCCTCATTATGTAAATAAGGTGGGCAGTCCTTCTTGGGTCAGCTCCTCTCCTATTAGTCAACCGACAGGAAGGGGCAGGATCCATGTGCAGATCTACTGTGCATGTTTGTGCTGCCTCAGTTTAGCTTAAAGTTTAAGGTTTAGTTTAAAACAAAGACACAGGTAATTGTTTTTCCTCCTTGTCTTTGTTTTAAATGAAACTTTGTACTTTAAGCTAAACTGAGGCAACACAAGCATGCACAGCCAATCTGTACATGGATCCTGCTCCTTCGTGTCTGTTGACCAATAGGAGAAGAGCTGACCCAAGAAGGACCGCCCACCTTATTTACATAATGAGGCAGAAATGCATAAGGTTACTACAGGAGACAGATACAGTATACAATGTAAAAAATGAAATGTTGGATTTACTTAACCATGTTACGTTACCTGGTTCTACTGAACTGAGTTGAGTAAATTCAAAGCAATATACCAGTTTTTTAGCCAAAGAACATGAGTATGTTGCTTTGAATTTACTCAACTCAGTTAAGTGGAACCAGATAACATAACATGGTTAAGTAAATCCAACATTTCATTTTAGAGTGTATGTAAAACCAGCACATGGGGATAAAAAGACTTGTGGGGAAAATTATTAAAAAAAAATACATATAATCATTTAAGAGACATAAATGCATCTACAAATAGAAGAAAAAACGTAGTTTTAAACAGTAAAATGTAAACTATGTGCTGAAATATATAATTTATTAGAACTAAGCTGGAAAAATTATTATGAAGGTCGATTAAATTATGAAACATGAGGGAAAGTTCCCCTTTTTTAATTTAATTGGAGCATTTTAAGAGTATTTATTTCTTGTTCGATTTATATTTTTCTGCTTTTATTTCTAATTATAACAGTTTGGATCCTCCACACTTACTGTTGGTTCTTTGTTGAAAGAATTCATATTGTCTGTCACGTTTTGTACTCGAGTTTTAAACTAAGATGATTTGATTGGTTAAGGTGATTTGATGATTGAGAAAGTGTGAAGTTGAAACCATTTTGCTCATACTTTGCAAATGAAGTTACGCAGGATTTCATGTTATCTTTTTGAGTAGCGTTAGGATCCCACACTAAATATTACCTCAGTATTGTTCAGGTCTATAGCCACGTTTGTGTTTTTAAAGGTCAGTTAGTCGTGATGGTCATCTTGATTACGTTCTAAAATTCATTCAGTGTTTTATGAGATATTTTGCTAACAGTAAAGGAAAGCTGAGTCTAAGTTCACACCAAACACGTTTTGAGCAGCAGGAGCAGCAGGTTTAAGTCTATGGTGGTCAAGTCCATTTAGTGCGACGCACAAAGAAGCGGAATGTAGCAGTAGAGCATTTACCGTGCATGCGGTGCGTCCAAAGCAGCCAACGCTTGAGTTCAAAAATCTGATCTTTCGCCGCTCGACGCGCCGCGTCAACCAATCGGGGAGAATCATTTTTCCACGTGACAGTTTCCTGAATGTTGCCCACTAAACTGAAACAGATGGATAGAAGCTCTTCAGCTGAAATGGACCATCTGCAGTTGGTGCGCTGGCTGGAGATATCAGCACCTATGTGGGTCAGCAGCTTGTTAAACTGACCGCGGTGTTAAACTGGGCTCAGGGCAAAAAAAATAAAATTTGTCAGCTCGCAACTCCTGGAGTGATGAAACTAACTGAACAAACCGCCTCTAAATTACCTGGTGAATTAATTTTCTGCTGGGCACAACATTCGCTTGCTCTTTAGTAAATAAAGCAAAGCCATTTTCTTTATTTTATCTTTATTTCATCTGCCGAAGACAGACTAAAAAAACCAAGACGCTCCTCCCTCTTCAGACTTGTGTCTAGTCTCTGTCCCGGTCTGAACGTAGCGCGTCCAACTTGAGGTGTTGGGAGCATTTTTGCAGCTCAAAACGTGTTCGGTGTGAACATAGCATAATAATTAATGGCAAAGTTTAAAAACACAAAAACTGTACAATCAGTTTGCACTTAGTGTATTAGTCAGTGACAACTCTCGGCTCCTACAACTATAAAGGGGCAATATCATGAAAAATCAACTTTTTTCGAGCTTTATACTGTATCATGTTTTTGTTATGATCGGTGTCTTAGTTAATGTTTTGTTCTAGTTTTCTGTCATCTGTTTTTTTCCTCCTGTCTGCCTATGATCCAGCCCCGCCCACTCACACCTGATCCTCATGTATCTACCCCAAGTGTTTCTTATTTTAGCTCATTAGTTTTCCCTTTATATTCTGTTCAGTGTCTTCAGTGTTTGTCAGATCTTTGTTTACTGTTTGATGTTCTTGTTCCTGTCCAAAGCCCTTGCTCTTGTTTGCTGCCACGTCAGCACCTTTGTTTTTGTTTTAAGAAATCCCTTTTTACCACCTCACTCAGTTCTGCATCTTGGGGTTCTAATCAACCAAGCTCAATCATAACAGTTATAATGTTATCCTCTTATCAAAAACATGCTCAGAGTCTTGCTTTGACTCATTCATGTATGTTTGAGAAATCCTGCAGTGTCCTGAGACAGCCAGGCAGGAGAGCAGAAATAACCAGCTGGGACTAGAATCACCTTTTAGGATCAGCTCCTCCTCTGGAATGTGTCTCTGAACTGAGCTTCCTCATCACAGAGCACACACACACACACCTGCCCCGTGCTGAAATGGATGGGACAGAAGCTGAAGGAGGTTCTTAAAGAGACAGAGGCCAATTTCAAGGTGTTTAGAAACAGATATGATGAGAAGTCAAGTTTATTTTCTATTTAAACATATAAAAAAACATTTAATAACAACTGAAGGTGACATTAATACTTTATTACGGTATAGAATTTAAATACATGCCTGAGAAACACATAATATTGCCCCTTTAAACTTTAACTATACAGCTGTAAAACTCACTGATTTAAATTTTTTGCGTATTTTCTAATGTTCCTTAGCTGTGGCGGCCATCTTGAATGAGGCTGAGTTCAAAAGTTACTCAGTAGAATTACATGCTGTGATTACTTTCTGAGAGTTTTATAAACAACTCTTCAGTGTTTCATGAGATTTTTTTGGATAACAAACAGCTAAACAGTTTCTTTATCACCAACCATCAAAGGTGTGTGTTGGTAATGTGTTAAAGTTGTGTGTTGGTAATGTGTTAAAGGTGTGTGTTGGTAATGTGTTAAAGGTGTGTGTTGGTAATATGTTAAAGGTGTGTGTTGGTAATGCGTTAAAGGTGTGTGTTGGTAATATGTTAAAGGTGTGTGTTGGTAATGTGTTAAAGGTGTGTGCTGGTAATGTGTTAAAGGTGTGTGTTGGTAATGTGTTAAAGGTGTGTGCTGGTAATGTGTGAAAGGTGTGTGTTGGTAATGTGTTAAAGGTGTGTGTTGGTAATGTGTTAAAGGTGTGTGATGGTAATGTGTTAAAGGTGTGTGTTGGTAATGTGTTAAAGGTGTGTGTTGGTAATGTGTTAAAGGTGTGTGTTGGTAATGTGTTAAAGGTGTGTGTTGATAATGTGCTCTCAGGACTGACCAGGATACGCCTGCAGAGCAGCCCCAAACTAACAGCAACTTTTTAAACAAAATCACTTTCCAGCAATTTATTCAGTAAACCAATTCACCAGAAGCTGGAACCACAACCAGGGAGAGAAACCTTTCATGAATGTATACAGCCCCACACAACACAAAGACACACAAATGGACACACACTTCCTCATCTAATGGCAGTGTTTCCATGGTGAATCTGCTGGTGTGACATCTTCTCCCTCCTGTGTGGTGAGGGTTACCATGGAGATGCTCTGCTCTGACAGTGTGTGTTTTTGTGTGTGTGTTTATTTTGTGTATGTGCGCTCTTCCTCGTCCGATTTATATGATATGAGTTTTGTTTGTGGCTAATGTGACTGTAAAATGTCTTCATGTGTGTGATCTCTGAGGTTTCTGCGTGTTTGTCATCTGTCCCAGTTGGACCGCTTCAAGGAGCCCCCGGCGTTTGGGCCCATGTGCGACCTGTTGTGGTCCGACCCCCTGGAGGACTTTGGCAACGAGAAGACCCAGGAGTATTTTGGGCACAACACAGTCAGAGGATGCTCCTATTTCTACAGGTACAGGAAGACAAAAACGACTCTTTAACTTGTTTCTGCAGCAGATTAAAATTAAACGATGAGATCTGTTGTTTCTGATCTTTGTTTTGGGCAGAAATATGAACTAACCCAGGGGTCTGCAACCTTTACCATCAAAAGAGCAATTTCTGCTCCTTGTCTCACTAATAAAATGTGACCAGAGACTCAAAACAAGCTATAACTGTGATTATCAACTGGTGGTCCATGGACCTTTCCTAGACCTTTTCAGGAACCCTTACGATCATAGGAGGTGACATTATAA